ATGACTGGTTAAAGAAACTTTGGTGCATTTCCACAATGGAGTACTATGTAGCTGTTAGAGAAGACAAAGTCATGAAATTTACGTACAAGTGGCACTACATGGAAAGTATCATGTTGAGCGAAATGACTCAGAAAGAAAGGGATAGACATAGAAAGATTGCATTCATCTGGGGAACATAAAGTAACAAAATAGGAGACTAACACCCAAGAATGGCTGAGATTAGTACCAGGAATTTTACTCCATGGCTTGGAGGCCAGCCACACATGCTGGGGGAAAAGGGAGCTCAGATAGAGAAGGGAGCACCAAATAAAGGGTGTTAGGAGGAACCCAGTACCTATTTTAAAGAACTACAATCTAAATAAAACACCACCTTTTGATAACAGAAATTCTTGTGGAAGTAAATCATTAGCTTGAGGTTTCACTTTTCTTTTTCACTTTGCCCCGAATTCTTGTAGTCTTGCAGAGCATTTCTTCCCCAAAGTTAACATTTCATGAAAATAAGAAGGCCTGGAGAAGTTAAAGGTGGAACAAAACTTTCATAAATTTTGGAACCTCACAGATTAACAGTGGGGTGGGGCCTGGGGGAAAACCTGAGAGAATATTTACTTTCTCTACTGTGTCTGAAATTCTGCTCAAGATACTAAAACTCATTGTTCTCGTAAACTTAATGTAGTAGCTTTCCTAGAAGATAGTTATCAGAGATGAGGCACTTTACTGGCTTTGTTTTGTTTTGTTTTGTTTTTTAATTCAAAAGGCAACTATAGGATAACATTGGTTTGACTTCCTCCTCACAGCAAGGAGCTTAGGTTTGCTGAGTAATGCCCATCACAGTGCTCCCAAAGCCCTGCCATTTCCTCATATTCATCTTTAACTTCTCTGTGCTCTGATTTCTCTGTCTGTTAATCACTCATTTCCCCTAACCAGAACATGTGACATGTAAGATCGGATACTTCTAAGGACTCAGGGTTTTGTATTTGTAAGTGAAATATTGCTTTTCTCTTTCCTTTATGTCCTTTGCATAGTTTACCTTAGAGGAATGTATAGACATAGGTTGTCTATACATTTGTTACCTACTTCAACTTGACTGTTGAAATTATGTTTTCCTGCTCTATTCCTTTTGTTATTATTGTTGCTGCTTCAGAAGTCACTTCTGATGTTTGAGGAGGTTCTAGTACTCCATACAACCATATACATGGTTGTTGTAATGAGGATCAGTATGGAGTACTAGAACCTCCTCAAACATCAGAAGTGACTTCTGAAGCAGCAACAATAATAACAAAAGGAATAGAGCAGGAAAACATAATTTCAACAGTCAAGTTTGAAGTAGGTAACAAACAAACAAAAGAACTCTTTTATAAGGGAGCTATTATATTGTATTAAAATGTGGCTTCATTAATTCAACCTATTTTAATTGATCAACCACTATATCTCAGGGATTAGGGTAACAACACCTTTATTTCATATAAGTTATATAAATTTTACTACAAAATACTTGGTCACATAATGGTAACAAGTTTTTCCTGTGTATTTTGCTAGCTTCCTTCAGATTGGATTTAAAAACTCTATCTATACCTTAATGTCATGTAAGTATCATATTGTGTAAGATGCTTGAGTATCTGTCTCCTCTGGAAAGGAGGAGACCTTAGGAGAATGACTGTTAGATTTATTTATAATTCATTTTCTTAAAATCTGATTAGTAAATATCTGACTGACTTGATATATAAATGGATGATTTTATTATGTGTTGTCAGAGATATTTACAATGAGAGGCTGGCATCATGGCCGAGAGTTATTGAGTATATATGCTGTGAGACTCTGAATTATTTTAAAATACCCCAGTGCCCCCTCATTTGTATAATGGTTATATAAATAATACCACAGCTATAGTGTTATTAAGTAAAACCATAAGATAACATTTATAATGGATGCATGATAGTTAACAAGGTTTTGGAACAACAGTTTCTCAGTAAATATCTGAAATTATTATCTATCTGTTATGACGGTTCCATGGTTAACACCTTGCTTTGCATAACTACTCTTTCAGCTTCATTATAAAATATGAGACTCTCTGTTAGGAATTACAAGCTAAAGTTATTTATTTGAAAGGCCAGGAATGTGGCTCTATGCTAAAGCACTTATTTTACATATATTAAATCCCAAATTTTCCTACCTTCTTCCCTCTTTCCCTCCCTTCATTCTTTTCTCCCACCTTCCTTCCCTCCCTCCCTCCTTCCTTTCTTCCTTTGTATGGTGCTCAGGGATTACTTCTACCTCTGTGCTCAGGGATCACTCCAGGAGAGTTTCAAGGGACCAAATGGGGTGCTGAGGACTGAACCCAAGTTAACCACATGCAAGGAAAGCTCCTTGCCCACTGTGCCTATCTCTGTGACTCCTGAGTCGTCGTTGTCGTCGTCGTCGTCGTCGTCGTCGTCTTCTTCTTCTTCTTCTTCTTCTTCTTCTTCTTCTTCTTCTTCTTCTTCTTCTTCTTCTTCTTCTTCTTCTTCTTCTTCTTCCTCTTTCTCTTTCTCCTCCTCCTCCACTTCTTCCTCTTTTTCCTCTTCTTCCTCTGCTTCATTTCTTCTTCCCCGGCAATGGTCAGGGCTTGCTCATAGCTCTGTGCTCTGGGATCACTCCTGATGGGGCTTAAGTGTTCATATGTGATGCCAAGGATTGAAGCATGGTCAGCTGTGTGTGAAGGCAAGCACCCACCCACTCTACTAACTCCAGCCCCTGATTCTTGACAACACATGGACCCCACGCAGGCTAGAAACACTGCAAGGTATGGTCCAAAAGCTAGCCCCTGATTCTTGACAACACATGGACCCCACACAGGCTAGAAACACTGCAAGGTGTTGTCCAAAAGCTCTCACTCTCTCTCTATATATATATGTAATTTTAATATATTTATTGGATATATTGTAACATATTACATATATAGTATTGCATATACAATATATTGTATTGCATATATTATATTAATATATATCGTTTAATATATAAAGCAGAGAAGGCCAAAATGTCTAGAACATTTATACTTGTACTGCTTTGTAAAGATATCCAAGCAACCATTTCATCTATCTTCTAGAAATTCTTGTTTTATCTAGAAGAATGTCATGTTCACTAATGGCAATTAGTGTCAGTGCATGTTCAAGAAAATAAAAGAAAATTTTGAAAAGATATTTGAAATCAGATCCACACTTTTTTATTTTGAAATTCTTATGAACTTTCTATATAAAAAGCTTCAATCAAGAGTTATTGTTACCTTCTAAATGAGATGAAACTTCAATCTTTGACTATTCTATGGAAACTAGTAACTTCCATTCTGTACAGAGCATTTACTTTACATTTTCTCCAGTAAGGGGAAATCTCATTCATGTTTGTTCTAAGAAGAGTATTAATTAAAGTAAAATTTAAATAGTTAGCTTAGTCTCTTTATTGATAAGGAAAATATAGACAGAGAAATAATGACCTCAGTATTTTAGTAATCAACTCTTTTGTTTATTGGGTCACCATGAGATACCGTTACCAGGTTTTCATATTTGAGTTTCAGTCATACAGTGAGTGAACACCCATCTCTCCACCAGTGCACATTCCCCACCACCAGTGTCCCCAGTATCCCCCTTATCCCTACCCTCCCCCTACCTCTATAGTAGGCAATTTCCCCCATACTCTCTCTCTACTTTTGGACATTGTTTTGCAGTATAGATACTGAGAGACTATCACGTTCTATCCTTTATCTGCTTTCAGCACACATCTTCCATCCCAAATGATCCCTTCAACCATCATTGATTAGTGATCCCTTTTCTATTCTAGCTGCCTTCTTCCCCAGCTCATGAGGTAGGCATGGAGCAATATTTCTGTCCCTTGTCTATACTGTCCTTGGGTGTCAGTCTCATATATAATCAACTCATTTTTATTTTATTTCATGAGAATACAAGTTCTTTACTCCATAATTGAAATTAAAATATTTTAAATAGAGTAATTTGCTGTCTAAAATCTTAAATTAAGAAAATGTCAACCACCTTGGCCTACCTTTGCTTTTGATAAGCTGGATAATCCAGTTATAATTTATGACAAAAATAGTTATGCAGGATTTCTATGTATGAGGAAATAAATATTGATGAAAACATACCTGCAGGATGAACTTTGATTCAGGGTAAAGACTCCCAAAGCCTTCAGAATGAAGCTTTTTTCTCTCAAATTTATGAGACTCACCATTTCACATACCCACATTATATATCTCAGAAGTATTCAAGAAAAATCACCTGAAACAAATTATTTCAGAAGGTGAGAAAATAAAATGCATATATAATACTAGATGATCAAGTAATAGTTGCAATAAAAGAGATCTTTGAGCCCTGGCCAAGACCATTTATCATGATGTCACTTCACCAATGTTATATTATGTAAATTGAATGATTTATAAAAATAATCAGTCTACAACTTAGTCTGGCCAGGTGGCCTGGTGGGACAGCGTTGTGTTAGGAGTCCCCAAGCCCTGCCTGTGTCTATGCTCAAGCCGCCTCCCTACAAGTCCAGGAATTCATGCATTCTAGGTCAGTCTCAAAACATCCCATCCAGCTGTGCTCTGAGAAAGTAGGAATCTACCAGACCCCTCTCCTCTGCTTGGCCATTGGCAGCACCTCCCTCCAGCCCTAGTTTCCACATCAAAGTCCAAAATCACCAGTAATTCCTTGTGAAAGTATTAGTCTTCGCACTCTTCACAGTGGGAGCAGGTGGGATTCAACCGGGTTCTAATTCAGAGACAGAAAAACTTTGTAAGTCTCAGGTATGGAATAGCAATTATCAAATTGACCAACAGTTATACACTTCCTTGTCATACTGAATCACACTTACATGGTAAGGAAAATTCATCAACAGAGACATAAGCAGTACATGGTAGTATAAGATACTGAGCAGATTTGTAACCAAGAAGCAAATTTTGAAATTTGAAGACATATTTGTGTTTATTTAATTCAAATCCTTCTTTCACAGATTAAAAAAAAAAGCAACACACAGAGAAGTAATCCATGCAAGATCATTCCCCATAACAGAAATTACAAGAACCCAGAGCTGGACACTACGAAGTAGGTAAATTCTTAGAATTGTAACATCTCACTTCTAGAAACTTAAGCACTTTCGTTACTAATGACATGCATCAAAATTAAATTTCTGATTCTCACAGAACGAATGAATGTTTATTATTATGTGATATTATGATATTTAAGTTGATACAAAGAAGCAAATTAGCAATAGTAATGAAGTCTTGGTGGTTCTGAGTTTACAAACATTGTAGCACTGTTCACTGTCCTCCCATTGCTCATCCATTTGCTCAAGCAGGCCCAATAACGTCTCCATTATGAGACTTGTTACTGTGTTTGGCATATGAATACATCACGGGTAGCTTGCCAGGCTTTGCAGTGCGGGCAAGATACTCTAGGTAGCTTGCCAGGCTCTCCGAGAGGGGTGGAGGAATCAATCCTGCTCTGCTGGGCCGGCGGTGCGCAAGACAAATGCCCTATCACTATGGAGCACAGTGGGTAGGGCGTTTGCCTTGTACATGGCCGGCTGGGCCAACGCAGGTTTGATTCCTCTGCCCCTCTCGGAGAGCCCAGCAAGCTACCGAGAGTATCTCTCCTGCATGGCAAAGCCTGGCAAGCTACCTGTGATGTATTTGATATGCCAAACACAGTAACAAGTCTGACAATGTTACTGGGCCCACTCAAGCAAATAGATTAACAATGGGAGGACAGTGACAGTGACAAACATTACTGGGTCTTTTTCTCTTTTGCTTTGGGGGCTACACCCAGTTCTCAGAGCTTTCAGCCCTGTGTGTTCTCAGCTCTGTACCAGGAGATTGTTGCTAGGGTACTCAGGGACCATTTAGTGTGCTGGTGATTGAAACTGATTGGGATGCATGCTAGGCAAGTCCTATGCCTGCTGTACTACCTCTTTGGTCCAGGGTTTTCAAGTGTATACACAAAGTATTTATAAAACATCTGCAAACTTTTCTAAGAGTTGTAGATTGAGCATGCATGTGCACACACACACACACAAAATACACACACACATACTTCTTAGATTTTAGTTTAAGAACGTTTGATCATGCCCCAAAAATGTTAATGTTACAACTACTTTTATTTTTGGATTTGTGGTTAAAGGCTGTTTCTGTGTTTTGTTTTTATTTCTTAAAAAACATTTTTATTTACGTACAGGGATTTATAATATTTTTACTCTTACTTTTTTTTTCTTTTTGGGTCACACCCGGCGATGCACAGGGGTTACTCCTGGCTCATGCACCACTCATGGTGGTGCTCAGGGGACCATATGGGGTGCTGGGAATAGAACCTGGGTCGGCCGGGTGCAAGGCAAAATGCCCTACCCGCTGTGCTATCACTCTAGTCCCTTACTCTTACTTTTTAATGCATGTATCATTCAAATACCACACCTACCACCAGACAGTCTGCTTCCCTCCACTACTGTCCCCTCCTAACCACTCCACCCATGTAAGCTCAGTTCTACAGACAAAATCTTCAGTTTTGATGACTTTAATCATTTACTATTATCTTACTATGTTTCTTTTTCATCTGACATTTAGGATAGATCTCTCTCTCTCTCTCTCTCTCTCTCTGTATGTATGTATGTGTGTATGTGTGTGTACGTGTGTGTGTGTGTGTGTGTGTTAATTGTGGAAGTGGGAAGTGGTGACATCTACATACATAGGTCAGTAGAACTAAAATCCTTGAATTCCACAAAATTGCAATTCAATAATAAACTGAAAAAATGAGAACCCACAATTCAGAAAAGATTGAAGAGAACTCAATGAACTGATAATTTCACTAAGAATACTCTATCCAGCTAGATTATTTTTTATATTTGAAGGAATAATACAGATTTTTAAGGACAGATACCAGCTTAGAGGATTCAAAGCCTTTAAACCTGTCTTGCAAGAAGTATTAAAGGAACTTCTTTTAAAAAGCAAGACAAACTCCTGAGCATCTGACACTGAGTATGGTAGTCACTCTTGCTGTTTATTGTTGTCCTCTATTAGATTAAGAAAGGTTAATTTACTCTTATCATGTTAAAGAATTTTATAACTTGCAATAACAAATTAATATTTTATTATTTATATGTCAAATGATATATATATCTGATCATGTCTATTTTTTACATCCATAGAGACTTTTTCTATTTCCATATCCCTCTTTGTTTATTTATTGGTTTGGGGGTCACACCCAGAGATGCTCAGGGCTTATTCCTAGCTATGTGCCCAGGCATCACTCCTGCCAGTGTTCAAGTACCATATATTGTGCCAGAGGCTGAACCAGAGTCAGTCACATGCAGTCACATGTCTTATCCCTTAAGCTGTCTATAAGGCCTTTATATATTTTATTTAAATGGATCAGCAACTTATCCAGGAAGACCTTCAATATAAAAGAAAAGTAAATGTTTTAATACAGATTTAATCAATCATATAGGATTAATTAAGAGATAAATATGATAAAATGAAAACTTTTTTAGAAATATTGCTGAGTTAGGGAGTTATAATAGACAGAACAACATATTTATTTTCCCTTTGCTTTTTTTTGTATTGTGAAATAAAAGAAGCAAAATTTTTAAACCATAAATTATGCCCACATATTGAATCTATGGTAAAAGAAGAAAAATACAGAATATGAACACAAAAGAAATAGAATTATCTTCTGAATATTACTCAATCACTTTTGTTACAATATTTTAAGAGATTTATGTTTCTAAAAAGTTTGGTAATAATTTTCTATTACATAATAATTTGGGAAACTCAAGCATCGCTTTAAAGACATTGATAACAAACTTCATTTTACTAATTAAAAAATACTTGGACATTTATCAGTTATAAAACACTATACAGAGATAGTATGTTGTAACAAAAAGACCATTTGGGCTGAGAAAATCCTTGATCTAAGTCCCAGTTTTATTTCTGTCTTGGATTTTGACTAAAAGTATTAAAAATTAAAAACACCTCAGTTGTTTCACTTTTAAAATGAATATGTGCATATATGACATGTATGTATATATGTACATATATATCATTTATGATAGCCATGCGAGAATATAGTAAATATTCTGAAGAGTTTTCTCCCTAAAACTAACTTCTAATATAATAACTAAAAAAATTTGTGTGTTCTGACTTAATAATGGTACCACCTCTTTTGTTAATTACCTAACATTCATACCATTAGCAGTAGCATATTAGTATAGTGAATAGTAATCATAGCAGTTAACAATTTTAGTCCTTATTATGTGTTATTCTAAGTAGTCCACAGGGGCAGGGCGATAGTACAGTGGGGAAGCCGTTTTGCCTTGCAAATGGAGCAGCAGGATTCCATCTCCAGCATCACATATGTTCCCCCGAGTACCACCAGGAGTAATTCCTGAGTGCAGAGCCAAGAGTAATTCCTGAGCAATGCGGAGTGACCCAAAATGCCCCCCCCCCAAAATACTCTCCATTTTTAAATTTTTCCAGAGCTCATATAAATGAAGTTGAAGAAATGAATTGAAGTGATTGAGTAGCTTAATCAAAGTCAACCCTAAATAGAAGCAGAGCCATAGATTTTAGCTATTTACCACCCAGGCTCTTGGCATGACCCCTGTGAGACTGTTCCTCAATTTCTTCATTTTTAAATTTGGATCATAATTTAAGCACTTAGTTAGCACCTGCCACAGTATTTAAACGCTGTTTGCATTCCCTGAAGAGAGTTCGAGTGTAAATTCCCATTTTTAAAAAGCTCTAAATTTATTTACTTGGACTGCTGTAACAATATATTATAATATTAATGACTAAAACTAGAAATATCTGATAGTTCTGACAAATAGGAGTCTAGAATCAGATTATCAGTGGTGCTCCACTTAGTATTTTCAAGGGACAATTCTTCAGTGTCTTTTCCAGCTTCAGGTAACCGTACTTACTAGTTCAAGTTACCAGAAGCTGGAAGAAACTTAGGCTTGCCTTGACTTATGATTACATCAATTCAGTTTCTTCCACTATCCTCATATTTCTGTCAGTCATTACATTTAGGATTGACTTGGATAATTGAGGATTATAGCTTGTCAAAGTTTGTAATTTAATTGCGTCTTAAAAGATCATTTTCTCATATAAGGTTAGATTTACAGATTCCATATTTTGGGTGGTCAACTTTCAATTTACTCCAGTATCTTAAATCCAAATATATTCATTCATATCTTGTGAGATTCTCTCTGGTGTCCTTGACGTTTATTCAAATAGTGAAAAAAAATTCCTCTCATTTGATTTAGGACTGTAGTTAAATTTGTCACAAAATGTGATTGAATTAAACTTTTCTTTCTTTTATTAAATATGTAAGAGAAAATATTTTTCTTAATATGTTAGTTGACATTAGCTTTCTGCACATTTTTTTGAGAATCAACAAAGGTCTTTGTAAACAAGCAATTGTTATCCATTTAAAATAGCAAATTTAGAAATCATTTCACTATGCGCTAGGAACCTAAAGGTTTCTGTACACTTCTGTGAAGAAACAAGAATTTTAAAATGAAGCTGGCAGTAACATATGTAAACTGTTCTTTTTTTAGAGAAATGGCAGATCTACATGTCTAATTTATCAGCAAGACTTATAAAATATTATATCATTAAAATAACTTCTGTAATAAGATGATAATATATAAAATATTTCTATAACAGGATTTTAGAATATAATACATTTAAGCACTAAAAGGCAACAATATTGTTTTTCATAACTTTATAAATTCAATAAACTCCTGGCTTTCCTTTCTCATCTCTTTGTTCTGCCTCTGTTTCCCACTCCAGGAACTGGCTGAGCTAGAATGCTAACCAACCCGGAAGGGAAATGCTCTGAGGGCTCGCAGAAAGGACACCTGTGTAATGCTCTATCGCCATGGCAGTTGGCAGTTTATACTCACTCTCCATTCATTTTCCTAAATGCAATACTGCATACAGAAGCATCAGTTGAGGGCAGGAAAAACAATATAATATGTTGTTGTTATTGCAAAAATAACATCTACACAAGTTAAGTGTGATTGGTCACCAAAATTAGAAAAACACTGAATTCTGAAAG